GGCAGACACAGCACCCCAAAGCTGTTGAGGTGTACCCTACCTTCCCGCTCTGTTCTCTGTCCCACGGGGGGTGGGGGAGGCGAAAAACAGCCCCCCAGGACAATAGGAGAGATCTCTGGCGCCACTAGCGACGCAGGAAAAAAAAAGTCACTAACACCCTATAAAACAGGACATTTCTTAGCTGCTTGAAAAAGGGCAGAAGGTTTCGGAGGACCCAGTGGCCAGCGGGAAGTTATCCACGCCAGGCCTTCCGACCAGCAGTCTGAGCCACAGAGGGAGCAGGCACCCACGTCCGGGCAGACGGGGGCGCAGAGAGTGTGCCTGAACCGGAGGCGCAGGGACTGCATCCCGCTTCGCCATTTGAGAACAGGGACATTTCTTCTAGTAAAAACTGCCTAAAACCAGCAGAAAGCTCCCACAGAAGCAGCAGATGGCTCCTGGAAGAGCCTAGAGGGGAGCGGAGAAGTTCACCAAGATGTCAGTCAGTCCGAGCAACACAGTGTCCCACGCATACGACAAATTAGAAAACAGACAGTAGGGGAGTAGAAGAACCACACGCAACCTAAAAACTCCTCAGAAAGAGCACACCACAAAAAGAAAAACCACTCCCCAGATGCCAAATGACAGCAACTTGGAAGAACTTTCTGAGCCTTCCAGAAAGAGAATTTAAAAATTTGCCATGATTTAAAAAGTGATAGATCAGAAGAAGGAAATTGAGTCCCTAAAGAGGGAAGTAAAGAGAAATGCAGGAGATCAAAGAATTAATGGAGGAACTAAAGAACTCTGGGAAAAGCAATGAAAGCAGAATAGATGAAATGGAAGAACGAATAAGTAATCTTGAAGAACAGAAATAAAAAGAACCAAAACAGAAAAGGAAAGAGAAGTACGAAGGAAAAAGAATGAAGAAAGACTTCGGGAACTATCTGACTCCATGAGGAAAGGAAATATAAGAGTTATAGGAATTCCAGAAGGAGAGGAGAAGATGTAGGAACAGAGAAAATATTCATGGATATAATTGAAGAGAACTTCCAAATGCGAAGAAGGAGCTGAAAATTGATATACAAGAAGCAAGAAGAACACCAAACTTCCACGACGAAAGGAAAAACACAGAAAGACACATAATAGTAAAGCTCCCAAGAATCCAGGACAAGGAAAAAATAATGAAGCTGACAAGAGGGAAACAGATAACATTCAAAGGAAAACCAATCAGGCTGACATCAGACTTCTCTGAAGAAACACTATGGGCAAGGAGAGAGTGGAGGGACATAGTCAACAGACTCCAAGAAAACAGATGCCAACCAAGAATACTCTATCCCGCAAAGCTCTCTTTCCTCCATGAAGAAAGAATATGGACCTTCCCAGACAAAGAGAAACTCCGAATTTCATTGCGACTAAACCCCCACTCCAAAAAATACTACAGGATCCTAAAGCCAGAACCTCAGAGGGACGAATAACAACGAAAGAAGACCAAAAAAAAAAAAAAAGTATTATTAAAGAATAAATAAATAAAATCAAGGAAAGACAAACATAATGGCCAATACAGATGCTAACATATCAATATTAACTCTAAATGTAAATGGACTAAACTCTTCAATAAAAAGACACAGAGTTGCAGCCTGGATTAAGAAACAAAACCCAACCTTTTGCTGTCTCCAGGAAACACATTTAGCTACAAAGATAAAAATAGGCTCAAAGTCAAAGGATGGAAAAACAATCTACAAGCAAATGGGCCAAAAAAGAAAGCAGGAACAGCTATACTTATATAGATAAAACAGACTTCAAACTCAAAAAAATAAAAAGAGACCCCAATGGTCACTACATTATGATTAAGGGAAATACTCTCAAGAAGAAATAACACTCATAACATATACTCACAAACGAAAGAGCACCAAAATATATCAGACAACTGTTGTCCTCTCTGAAAACAGACATCAGAGAAAACACATATGTAGTGGGAGACTTCAACACACACTATCAACAATGGATAGATCAACAAGACAAAAATAAGTAAAGAAACTAAGCTCTAAATAAGGACCTAGAGCATTTGGGCTTAACAGACATCTATAGAACAAAACCCAAAAAAAACGGAGTACACATTTTTTTCAAGCGCACACGGATCATTCTCCAGGATCGATCACATACTGGGGCACAAGACAAACATCAACAGATACACCAAGATTGAAATCATACCAACCATCTTTTCTGACCACGAAGGCATCAAACTAGAAATAAACCATAAAAAGAAGGCAAGGAACTTTCCTACCTCATGGAGATTAAAAACCACACTACTGGAAGACCACTGGACTAATGAGGAGATCAAAGAAGAAATTAAAAAATTCTTTCAATTGAATACAAGGAGGACACCAATATCCTAAATGTATGGGATGCAGCAAAAGCAGTAATAAGAGGAAAATATATAGCAATAGAAGCTCACATCAAGAAACAAGAAAGATCTCAAAAAGAAACAACCTAATCTCGAAGCTCAAAGATCTAGAAAAAGAACAACAAAAAAAACCCCAAAACCAGTAGAAGAAAAGAAATAATAAAAATCAAAGCAGAATAAATGAAATTGAAACTAAAAAAACAATCCAAAAGATCAATGAAACAAGAGCTGGTTCTTTGAAAAAATCATAAAATAGACAAACCCCTAGCCAGGCTCACAAAGGAAAAAAGGGAGAAAGCACAAATAAACAGGATCATCATGAAAGAGGAGAAATCACAACGGACACAGCAGAAATCAAAAGAATATTAACTACTATGAACAGTTATATGGAAACAAGTTTAACATCTAGAGGAGATGGACAAATCCTACAACTCTACAATCACCCAAAGCTAGATAAGAAGAAATAGAACACCTAAACAGACCAATTACAAGCAGCGAAATTGAAATGGTAATCAAAAAACTCCCCCAAAACAAAAGCCAGGACCTGATGGATTTACAAATGAATTCTACCAAACATTCAGAGACGAATTAGTGCCTATCCTTCACAAACTCTTTCAAAAAATTGAGAAGGAAGGGACAATACCAAACAAGTTCTATGAAGCCAATATTACACTAATACCAAAACCGAACAAGGACAACACAAAAAAGGAAAACTACAGGCCAATCTCCCTAATGAACACTGACGCAAAATCCTCAATAAAATTTTAGCTATCAGAATCCAACAATGTATCCATAAGATAATTCACCACGACCAAGTAGGATTCATTCCAGGGACACAAGGATGGTTTAACATCCGAAAATCAATCAACGTTATCCAACACATCAACAAAAAGAAATATAAAAACCATATGATAATATCAATAGATGCTGAGAAAGCTTTCGACAAAGTGCAACACCCATTCATGATAAAAGCCCTTGAAATTCTTGGGATACGAGGAACATACCTCAACATCATAAAGGCCATCTATGACAAGCCAACAGCCAGTATCATTCTCAATGGTGAAAAGCTGAAAGCAATTCCATTAAGATCTGGAACAAGACAAGGATGTCCACTCTCACCACTGCTTTTCAATATAATACTGGAAGTCCTAGCCAGAGCAATAAGATAAGAGAAAGACATCCAAGGAATCCAAATAGGAAAAGAAGAAGTCAAACTATCACTATTTGCAGATGATATGATAATATACATAGAGAACCCCAAAAACTCAACAGAAAAACTAATTCAACTCATCAATCAGTTCAGTAAAGTGGCAGGATACAAAATCAACACGCAAAAGTCAGTAGCCTTCCTATACACAAACAATAAATCTGAAGAAGAAGAAATCAAAAAAACCATCCCTTTTTTTATTGAAACAAAAAAAAATCAAATATTTGGGAATAAATCTAACAAAAGAGGTAAAGGACCTATACAAAGAAAACTATAAAACACTGTTAAAAGTAATAGAAGAAGACACAAAGAAATGGAAAGACATCCCCTGCTCATGGATTGGAAGAATAAACATTATTAAAATGGCCATCCTTCCAAAAGCAATATACAGATTCAATGCTATTCCAATCAAAATTTCAATGTCATTCTTCAAAGAAATAGAACAATTATTGATGAAATTCATATGGAATCACAAAAAACCCCGAATAACCAAAGCTCTCCTGAAAAAAAAAAGAAGGGAATGGAGGCATCACACTCCCAGACTTCAAACTCTACTACAAAGCCATAATCATCAAAACTGCATGGTATTGGAACAAGAACAGACATACAGACCAATGGAATCAAATAGAAAATCCAGAAATAAACCCACAGATTTATGGTCAACTAATCTTTGACAAAGGAGCAAAGACTATGCATTGGAGCAAAGAAAGTTTGTTCAATAAATGGTGCTGGGAAAACTGGGTAGCTACATGCAAAAGAATGAAGCTTGACCACTACCTCACACCATACACAAAAATCAACTCAAAATGGATTATAGAACTAGACATAAGACCTGAAACCATAAAATATATAGAAGGAAATATAGGCGAAACACTACGTGATTTGCACATCAAAGACATCTTTACAGACACATCACCCAAAGCAGTGATAGTGAAGACAAAGCTAAACAGCTGGGACTACATCAAATTAAAGAGCTTTTGCACAGCAAAAGAGACAATAACAAAAACAAAGAGAAA